CCTTTGGAATTCTCACACGGGCAAGGGGCACGCAACTACAAAATGGCTGCCACAGGAGGCGGAGCTACACACAACGAGGAAGCCCAAGTACAGGGAAGAAGAGGGGTAATTTAAAAAAAAATACATTGGGAGAGAGATGTGGCAAAGAGTCAAACCAATGCTGCGGTGGCAGCTGCTACTGACACGTTATTTTAATCTGCACAGCCAATACAGTGGGAGAGAGCAGTGACAAAGAATCAAACCAGCACTGTGGTGTGGCTGCTGCTACTGAAATCTGCACAGCCAATCGGATTTCCAGTGACCAATCAAAAGCTCTGCTGGGTGCCCTGACCTGGATAGGCCAGGCAAGCCCGATCTCACCAGATCTTGGAAGCTAAGTAGGGCCGACCCTGGCAAGTATTTGGATGGGAGACCTCCGAGGAATACCAGGGTCGGGAGGCAGGGGCAGGTTTTCAAGCCACTTCTCTGAATGTCCTCCACGCCCCAGTAGGAGTTCCCAGAGGTCGCCATGACTTCCAGGCACGGGTGCACACACACACACGTGCAGAAACACCAAAGGAAAAAAAGCCCTATTGGGCAAGATCTGTTGTAAAATAGTCAAAAAGTGTTTAATACTTAGACTATCAATGCTCTATTGGAAAGAAGAGATTTCTTTGCTTTTAAAAACCTTTATTTCTAAGGGTAAAAGATATATGGGACTACTACAAATAAACATAACACTAACAGCTACATTTTCTAAGCTGCCTATAGTCAGAACTAGCACACAGATAATGGAGAATCTCTCCTTCTTCTTGACCCCTAGAAAGGAAATCACCTGAAACAAATGACCAATCTGTATCACAGCAGAAAGCTACTTTTCCCGGGCTAATTCCCCATTGGCTCAGTGCCAGGTATCCCTTCCAGGTCAGTCTAAACAATAGCAATACTAGGCAAACAAGTTAACCCTATAATGACTGGATTGTCAGACGGGTACGCACACACACACACACACGTGCAGAAACACCAAAGGAAAAAAAGCCCTATTGGGCAAGATCCCCACATGGCCTCGCCCACTTTCTAAAAACAGTGGGCACCAGGGAAGGTGACTGTGGGTGCCATGTGCCCATGGGCGCCATGCTGGGGATTCCTGTGCTAGTCTTTAAAGTGCCACAGGGCTTCTGTTTTATTTTGCTATGATAAACTAACACAGCCATCCCAACAGTACTATCTTAAGGAGGCTTTCCTGGGAGCAGGCCCCAGTGCATCACATGGGACTTACTTCTGAGTAGCCCTGCTTAAGACTGTCCCTTAGCTTTTCCTGCAAGTTCCCCATCATATTCTAACTAACTCCCGAAGGACCCCTTATTGCCCTCCAATTAAATCAGCCCTTGTTTTACTGTCACAAGATACAGCAATGCCTGGTTGTTTAGATGAGTTTCTTTAGAGGATTAAACACATTCAAGCATAACAGGTCATCGCTATTTATGCATCTGGATACCAAAGGCTGGGGACAAACAACAGGTCATCACTTTCACATCCTGTTTGGCAGCTCCCAAAAGAAATCTGGCTGGCCTCTTTTTATTTAATGTTTTCTTTATGACATCTGCATGCCTGCCTCTCTACAGACCAGCCCAAAGTGGCTCATGAGGCAAAAAGGAAACCCTACAGTCATAAGAAGCAAAAAATACAATATCAACAAGCCCTGAAAGGATGCTCAGGTGAGGGCCAGATTGTGAAAAACAGCTAAAGACCTGAGTAAAGAGAAATGTTTTAGTCGACCTTCTAATAGCCAATAAATTAGATACCAGGTGAGCCTCAAGGGGCAGGGGAATACTAAGGCAAGGTGCCAATGGCTGCCACTCACTTCATTTCAGTAGGCAGGCCTACAGGGAACAGGACACAGGGTGGGCTGGGTAATACATAGGGTTGCCAGGTCTGGGTTGGAAAATACCTGGAGACTTTGGGGGTGGAGCCAGGAGAGGGTGGGGTTTGGGGAGAGGAGGGGCCTCGGCAGGGTACAGTGCCACAGAGTCCACCCTTCAAAGCAGCCATTTTCTCCAGGGGATCTGGTCTCTGTCACCTGGAGATCAGTTGTAAAAGTGGGAGATCCCCAGGCCCCATCTGGAGGCTGGCAACCCTAGTAATACAAGAGAATGTGGCTCTTCTGAAAATATGAGAAGTGTGCATGCGCATGAAAACTTATACCCAGAATTAAACTTTGTTGGTCTTAAACATGCCATTGGACTCAACCTTTGTTCTTTCCCATATCCAGTAAAGCTGGACTTGTAGGTTACCAAAAACCACTCCACTAGGCCACATAGTTACAGTCTTTCCTAACAACTCTGTTACTTATTGCTAACATTCAGTATTCAGAACCAGTGTTCCCTCTAAGCTTAGTGTGAGCTAGCTCAGTTTTTTAGCCTTCAGCTCACACATTTTTGCCTTAGCTCAGGAAGGACGGCTCCAGAGCGAACTAGTTGATGCAGTAGCCAAATCGCTTGCTCACAACTTTAATGCCAATAGCTCGCAAAGTAGAATTTTTGCCCACAAGACTCCACAGCTTAGAGGGAGCATTGTTCAGAACCATATAGTTTCTGGTCAATGTGTACACGCAGGGCTCTTTTTGTAGAAAAAGCCCAGCAGGAACTCATTAGCATAATAGGCCACACCCAACAGCAGGAACTCATTAGCATATTGGGCCACACCCCTGACAGCACAGCTCATTAGCACATTAGGCCGCACCCCCATGTTACCAGAAGTGTGGTTATCCAGCCACACCCACTTTTTGCTTGTTATTCTGTTTACCTTGTTTGTTGTCAAAACCCAGGGCTTTTTTGTAGCATCCTTTGCATGTTAGGCCACACACCTCTAATGTAGCCAATCCTAATGAGTTCCTGCTATTGGGTGTGGCCTATTATGCTAATGAGTTCCTGCTGGGCGTGGCCAACTTGGGAGCCAGCCGGAACTCCGTTCCTGTGCGTTCCTGCCCAAAAATAGCCCTGTGTACACATCATTTTGGGATATTTACAATCACTTGTGATTGCCTACCCTTGTAACTAACCAATGGATAGAATCCTTAGAACCCATCTTCTGGCAATTCCCAGTTCTTAGGCTTCCAGGAAAGGGAGGGACAGAGCACTAACAGGCTCTATAATCACTCTTCCATTCCCCTGGTCCTCTTCTGTCATTTTTTGAGATTACATGTTCACATTTTCTACACCTGAGTAACCCCAGATCTGATAGCATCAGATGGTGAGTCATCATGGATCCTTGCTTCATAGTGGTTCGAATGTCAGACTAGGATCTGGGAGACCCAGGTTGAAATCCCTACTCTGCCATGGAAGCCTGCTGGGCAACCTCAGTCCAGTCACACTCTTTATAACCTACCTCACAGGGTTGTGGTGAGCACAAAATGGAAGGGGGGGAATGATTTAAGTGGCTTTGGGTCCCCACGGGGAAGAAGAAAGGCAGGGTGTGAATGAAGTCAACAGATAAATAAAACTGCCACCTTAGCCCTCTTTGGTAATTCCCCAAGATTACACGTTCACATTCTGTACACATGAGTAACCACCATATACTCCATCTGATAGCATCGGGTGGTGAGTCATAACATGATTGCCCTCTCCCAACATGGCCCCACCAAAAAAAATAATTCCAAGGGAATAACAACAGGCAGTGGACCCATGGTGAGTCATCACTCTGTGACACATTCCCCTTATCAAAACTGACAGAGTGCCCTTGAGTTAGCATCTTCTGTGGACAGCAGGGACCCACCTAAAGAGAGTTGCCAGCAACTTGGAAGGGGGGGTATCTTGCCTTTTAACAGAGGGTTAATGTGTAGCCGAAGGTTTTCCTGGCATGGAGGTAAACAACATCGATTGATAAATAACCTCTCATTGAGCCTCTGTTAAAGGAGCAGGATATGTTTTTTCCCTCCAGGTTGTTGGCAGCCTTAAAATGATAAAGGCATTGGCAGCCATTGGCAGCTTCCTTCCATGCCACAAGAAAGGCAAGAGAGCCAGTTTGGTGTAGTGTTTAAGAGTGCAGACTCTAATCTGGGACAGCTGCGGCAGAATGACCTCTGGCCTGGCCAATATTGCCTTTGGTCAATCATGGATTCTCTAAAAAAAAAAAATTCATGGATTCTCTGTTGGCAATTATGTCCCTATGAGCAATCATGGATTCTCTATTGGCAATTATGTACTCCATTATCCCCTATGGGCAAGCGTCCTCTCCATTATTCCTTATGGGCAGTCATGGATTCTCTATTGGCATTATGGATTCTCTATTGGCAATTATGTACTCCATTATCCCCTATGGGCAAGCGACCTCTCCATTATTCCCTATGGGCAGTCATGGATTCTCTATTGGCAATTATGTATTGCACTATCCCCTCTGGGCAAGCCTTTTTGCTGCACTCATATATTCCCTTAGTTTTAGTACGTCCATTCGGGTAAGCGTGGGAAAGAAGTACAGAGACATCCTAAAATATAGCAGATCAAACTTAGTCTCACTAATCAAAATCATTGCAAGAAGAACCTTAAATCCTTGCTCAAATATTCCCAACTGTCCGTGCCTCACGTTGCGCGCCTGCGTCCAAACAACCCTCTTTCCCCAACAGCCTGAATTTGCGCGTGCGCATTGAGGAAGCCCTCTCTTCCCCCCCCCCCCCGCGCGTCTTGTTTAGGATTTTCCTCTTCTCCGTCTGTCAGTCAGTCTCCTTCCCGTCTGAAAGGGCCAGTCCACATCCGGGGTCACGCCACTTCGCTTCCTGTTGTCTTTTTGTGTGTGTGTTTGTTTGTTTTTCGGGGTGGAGGAAGGAAAGAAGGCAGGCACGAGACAGACGGAAGGGGGAAAACAAGCAGGAAGGAGGGGAGAGAGAGAGAGAGAGCGCGAGCGAGCCAACCGTCACTTGGGCGCGCGCTCGCTCTTCCCGCGGGGGGCTCCGTCAGCTGAGCGAGACCGTGCGAGCGGTCGGCGCGCGCACCCCTCCCCTTTCTGTCAAACGCTGTCAGGCCGGGGGGGGGAGAGAGCGCGGGCACGCGCGGCTGGAATCTTCGGGTGGGGGGGGGAGAGGGCGACCCGCGGTGCGGGGGCGCGCGGGGGCGCGCTCCCTCCCTCTCCGGGGCCCCGACGGCGCCTCCTCAGGACCAGCCGGGCGCGGAGGGGAACAACGAGCAGCAGGGGATCCCCGTCCACCTTTCCCCGGTTCGGCTGCCTGCTCGGGTCCAGGCTGAGGTGAGTGCGGCGGGGGGCGGGAAAAGAAGCTTATTTTCGTGAGACGGTGGTGGTGGTCGCGGCGGCGGCGGAGAGGGGGGGCGCGAAACAAAATTAAGAAAGACCAAGGAAAGATGGGTAGAGCACTGCAGGAAGCCACTTGGAGGGGAGGAAAGGAGGGGGGACATGGGTATTTGTAAATTGAAAGAAAATGTTAAACGTGTTATTATATCCAAAATAAAAGTTTGTAGAATTAAAAAAAAAAAATCCCCCTTCCTCTCACGGGCCCCTCTTCACAACGCCAGGAGCTCGGTGGATTCTGCCTGCCAACTTTCATCTTCTCCCCCCCCCAAAAAAACCCCCACAACACGCACCCTGAGAAGAGGGCCTTGTTTTCAGACCTTCCTTTCCCCCCCAGTCCTTTTCTGCCTATCTATCCATCTGGTACATTTTAATCCCGACAACAGCCCTGTGAGGGAGGCTGGGCTGCGAGAGAAGGTCTGGCCTGTGGCGGAGTGCGGGTGTCGAACCTGGGCCTCCCAGACCCTCAGTGGACACTTTTGCCGTGGCTCTTTTCAGCCGCCCCCCTAAAGAACCTTCTCTGCCACGCAAGTGTTTGTTTCCTTATGCATGAGGTTCTCTTTCTCCCCCACAAATACCAGTCACTTCCTCAACCTCTTTCTCCAGTTTTGGGGGGGTGTGCCTTAATTGTTAAGTATTTCCTCCCCCACACCGTTGGTGAGGAAATCTCCTCTCCCACTGTCTTCTTCCTTAGGAGCTGTTCCAGAAGAGTTAGCCTGTTGTAAACAAAACCAGGCGTATCTGTTGCGGCGTCTGCCTACTTTCATTCATACCGTGCTGACCAAAGATCATGTGCTACTAAATGTGCAATAGGGCAACGCTTTCCTTATTTACTCGGAACTAAGTGCTTGGTTGAGATAGTTTCCAAGGAAGGGTGACTTAGGACAGCAGGCCCACAGAATAACCCTATCTGTGTTTACTCTGAAGTCAGTCCCACTGGTTTCAACAGGATTTATTCCCAGGTAAATATGCATAGTGTAAATTGCAGTGTCAGCCTCTCCCAGTGCAATCTGCTTGAAAGTAAGTCATCCCGTGTTTATTCTTCGGCAAGTGTGTATAGGATTGTAGCTTTAAGGTTCCACAGAAGTCTTTGTTACTATTCCAGCTGCTTTATTCCCCTCCCCTTTCCCTACTTATGCTGTCTCTTCTCCTGTTTCCTAAATTTCTTCAGACTTTGGACTCTCAGCACCTCCACCCCAATATCTAGCTTTGTCATCCCATGTGAAGAATCTCTTTCCTTCCTCTCTTCACAGTCTTTACCTTCTCTCCACCATGTGAGGACTTGTCAGTTTCTTAGTCACTCTGTGGGGTCCTCTGTACCTGTGCCATATCTCTTCTTCCCCTTTCCTCTTACTATATCCTGTTTTTGTGACTCATTCCATTTTCTTTGAATTCCTGTGTCTCTGTCCATCCTGCCTTTCCACCCAGTACCTCCTTTTGTAAGGCTTGCTTTACTTGGGATGTCTGAAAGAGATCAGGTCCCAGGCACACTCCTCCATTTCCCTGGGAATATGGGAGATGTTTACCTGCCTGTCAGATCAGTGGAATTGGAAGATGCATTAGACATTGAGGCTTCAGTGGCTACTAGCATTGCTATTTGCACACTGCTCCACTTCCCTCCTTTTGTTGTGTGTTTACACAAACAAGCCAAGCAGTTTGAAATCTGGCTAGTGGGAAAGAAATTTAGTCAATATCTCCTTACTGAGTTGTTGTTGTCCAGCATTCCCAATGGTGATCTAACTCAGATGAGAGAGAGGCTTTTTACGTCATTATAGTTGAGATGCTGTCTCTTGTTTTTAAATATTGACACACATTAACACATTGTAAGCCAATGTATTGAGCTTTATAAAGGTAAATCTCTTTAGTGACAGTACTGGTAGCTAGCTCAAAACTGTTCAACTTACTGTTTATACATTGTATCTTTGAATGCTCATGAGACCTGAAAAACCAATTGCATAATTCCAGGGGAGTTATTATTGTTTCAGTGTTGTGAAGCTCAAAAGCATTACCCAAAGAAAACTACACAGCGAGGCTTTAAATAGGAGAGAAAGAAAATCTCTTTAATACTGTTTCATAAGTATGATTTATGTTTTACAAAGCATACTTTGTAATTGTATTTGTTTGAAACAAAGCTCACAAGTAAAATAGGTGCACCCAAAATCTGCCTTGTTCATAGTGTTCTTTTCGCAGGAGAGGGGTTAACAGCTGAATTCAATATTCTGTGTATTATCATTGTAATTTGCAATTTGTCTTGGTGCTTTTATGCATGTTGATTTTGTAACCAATGTAAATGTCATCCTTTAAACTAACATTTTTCTTGGAGAACTGGACGAGTAAGTATCTTCATAAATATTCAAAATGAGGGTGCACATAGGCAGACACTTGAGTGATTTATTTAAAATAATTTATGCCACTTTTTCACTAAGCATATCCAAAGCGGTTTATAAAAAAGAAAATGTATAACAATAAGACCATAGAAAACAACACAGATAAAATCAGTCTAATGAACAACTACTAGGCAGAATAAAGAAGTAGGAACAGCTGATAAAATCAGTCACATAAGGCAGCAATAACCAGTTCAACCGAAAATAACCTATGGTACTGTTGGTACAGAATATTATGTAAGAACATTAACGTGTGTTTAGTATTTTTAAAAATACTGATGAGTTTACGTTAAGAGTTCTCCTTCATGTTATTGGCATGCATGCAGCACTCTTTTCTTTGACTGTCATCAGCTGTCCCAAATGCCACACTCGAAACTGAATTGGGAAGGGGGTCTGCGACCCATGTGTATTTCTCCCTGCAGAATTGATCATTTTGTACAGAATTGTTAGTTGAAGATCTAGTCCATTCTTTGCTCACGTAAATGCACATCTGATTTACTTATTTAAACACTTATTGACTGCCTTTCTCCACAAAATGTGACGTGAAGATGGTTTGAAATGTACAAACCTTAAAATCAGATTGTATAACCAGAACATGCACATAATCTATATAGTAGCTAATAACTTGATAGCCTGAGTAACATCAGTGTAACATCACGATGTTAGCTTTCTAGAGTCAAAGTGAGACACAGCAGAATAGAAGTGAAGGACAGGACTTTGACAGAACTATGGCTGGAAGAACCACCCTTCAAACCCTTCAGAAAACAGGCAATGACTGATGAGACCATTTCAATTCTGTCAGCAGCCTATTCTAGAGCATCAGAACAGCCACTAAAAAAGCCCTGGAATGGGCTGTCATCATAGGAGAAACTGGCTTGATGACCAGAGCTGGTACACAGGTTTAGAAGGCAGAGGCAGTTGTTCAAATATGTGGGTCTGAGATTGCAAATGGCTTGAAAGGTTAGTCCACAAAGCCCAAAACACCGTCTACTTAATACTTTTTTAAGGACCGACCCAATGACACATTATCAGTGTGCAAAATTGCAAGCTTATTTTATTATTTATTTACAAAATGTATACCCCTTTCTGCATCAGGTAAAGGTTTTACCTGCCTCTTGCCCACCAGGAACCCAAAATATTTCCACTCCTGAAAGCCAATCCAGATTTTGTTCGGAGTTGGCCTTCAGGCCTGCTGCATTCATAGTCCACAAGATGCATTTGGAGGTGCTGCAAGTAGAATGGCTGGTTGGGGGCTGAAGATTGGGATGTTATCCAGGTAGGCCTGGGCAAACAAGAGAGCCAGTTTGGTGTAGTGGTTAAGTGTGCAGACTCGAATCTGGGAGAACCAGGTTTGATTCCCCACTCCTCCACTTGCAGCTGCTGGGTGACCTTGGGCAAGCCATAGTTCTGTCAAAAACTGTTCTTGAAAGAGCTCTCTCAGCCCCACCTACCTCACAGGTTGTCTGTTGCGGGGAGGGGAAGGAAAAGGAGTTTGTAGGCCGCTCTGAGACTCCGAGTGAAGGGCAGGATATAAATCCAATCTCTTCTTTTTCTTCAAACATGGTTGACAAGCTATTGGAAGGTTGCCTTTGCTCTGTGAAGCTCAAAGGGCATCATCTGAAATGAAAAGGACCCTTGGGGAGTAGTGAAGGGGATTTCTCCTTGTCTTCTGGCTGTATTGGCACCTTCCAGTAGTTTTTTGTTAGCTCTAGGAAGAACTTACAGGTACTAGGTTGCCTCAAGTTGATCAGTCAGGAGTTCAGCCTTGGACATTGGATAAGTATCAAATTGTGCCATCTTGTTGACCTCCACATCAACCTTCCAGACCAGAATGATAGGACTCTGCCGGGTACTGTGAGTTGGTTCAGTCATCCCTGCATACTTCCTGTTTGCTCTCCTACTGCTTACAAGACACCAGTTGCCAAATTGCCCAGACCAGGTGCTGGTGGGATCACATGCTGTACCAGCATGGTTCAGCAAGCTGTTAGTAGAAAATGCCAGGGACCAAAGCTATTGCTTGCTGCAGTTGGGACCTCTGGCTGAGTGTCAACTGGCCATCTGTTGGCAGACTGCTTGTCCCTAGGGAGGCTACCTTCCAGGGGAGTTTCCCATGACCAGTTTCCCATGGTGGTCCACAGGGTCACAGTCATAGCAGTCTTTCAGTTGGCTGACATACAGAATGTACTACAAGCTGCTACAGTGCAAGCTTTTTGACTGTCAAAGCATAGGTAGCTTTTATGCAGAGCTTTTGCATATCTCAAAACCAGTATTAAACTGGAACAAAATCACTTATTTTCAGACCTACTGAAAGGTAACTTTAGATGTACTAAAGAGTGTAAACTTTTCTTTGATACTGTAATAGATATTAAGATGTGTTGGAATTATAATTTATTTAGAAAAATTAAAACTACCTGTAAAAAGTCCCCAATGCAGTGTACAAATGATGATCAACTTTTTAAAAATTGGAGTTTCGTTTGTTGTGTCTAAGCCAGCACTCACAGTAGAACAGCAAATAAAAGTGTTTAAAACCAGATAAATATCAGGACAGATGACAAA